AATAATATTCATCTGCCAAGGCTCGGCAAAACATTTCCAGAGAATTTTTCCGTGTCTCCGGATAATGACATATAGATAATATTTATCCATTAAGTACCTCGTAGTCGTCACAACGTATATTTAAATCGCAATTAATATATTTCAAATATTATTACACGTGGACTTGGACAATCCAACGATGAATTTTAATAACAATGACTTCATGATTAAATATACTTAAATATCATTTGAGGACAAGCGATATAAGTTAAGAACTAATTCCTACTTTTTTAATTATTGCGCAATAAGATATATCAAAGTATCTTTAAGTAAATGAGTTGGATTGTCTAATTGCATGAAAAAGTAGTTCAGAAAGAAGATGCATGCAATATGCCACTCATTGAAAGATAATATATATGTATATATACGTACGCAAATATTATTTATTTTCAGTTAATATATCAAATAGAGTTAACAGATTTTTCTATGAAGCGGCGAGCTGTACCAAAGATGAATAGTGCAATAAATATCTACTAAGTGATTGAATCAAGTTATTCTGTTCTTAATCGTATAAAAAGTAAAAGTGTGAGGATGATACAGTTTCAGCTGACTTGATTTTATGTGCATATACATATATACATATATAAAACATAGATTGTACAAAATTTATATCTTTTAACGAAAGATATTTTTTTAAAAAGACCACCTTACATTTTTCTTTTCGAGGAATTTAACTCTTTCGGTTCTCTATGCAAAATGTAAGATTTTAAATTCTTGCTGTTTCTCGTGATATATTAGACACGTTTATGTATATTTGTATAAACAGTCGGAATAAACTTCACAAGATTCTTGGACCTCACGTTACGAAATTCGAAACGTGATCATGTTTTCGATTATTTTACTAGACACGTATTTTTGTTGCTGACATGTTACGAACGCATTATTAACGATGATTGTAAATACATATATAATATTGTATATGCGATTGTAACTATATGTATATATTGTCATCTTCATTAAAATACGGTTGCAGAAATATACATAGCTGACACGAACAAATATTGTACATTCTAGTCCATCAAATTTCCTTTCGAATAATACAAATTCTTACCTTCAAATACTTACATAAAAATGCCAAAAACTCTGAGAATTCATCTTAATTCTTGATAGTGTTGATTCGAAAAGTGCGGCACGCAGGTGTATCGGACGAAGTATGAACACAAGTTACACACGAATCTAAGCAGTCTTCTCTTAGAACTTCAAATAGCTCACGAGATAATCGATAACTTAAAAATTAGGATACAATCACCACTTTTTAAGACAAATATCGAGAACGCGAAAGCGACCGAAAAAAATTTGAAATGGTCCAAAAGCTAACTGACGCACAACGACATCGTTTACAACGTCAGTCGTTAGAATTAACCGGCGCTACGATCGTCAAAGAGCGAGAGAGATGAATGATCGAGAGATCAAAATGGCGTCGCGAACACGGTGCCGATAATTTTCGTTAAGAATGTTCTATATTATTATTTGCGCGTAACAAGACTGAAATGCGAACGGTGTCCGTTGTTTAATCTCGTGAGACTCGACGAGATATTTGAGCAAGCATACGTACGGTAAAACGTCAGTCACGGTCAACTTAAATTGCTCTCGCGGCGACGGTCGCGTAGAGGCAACCGAGGGAAAAACGGTTAGACTTGTTTTGCGTATGACTTTTAAATCGCACGGCCAGTCTCGTTTCGCCGATAACCAGGCTCGTTCGCGGGGCATGTCGTTGGCATGACGAAGGATGCGTGTACGGTTCTCGTGTATCGTGTGACCGCGGCAAGCTATGTGCTTTGACGTCCACGGGGAGTGAGATCTTAAGTTTCGTTTCGGATAGAACTCGCGGAGGTGTGGAGGTTTGAGACGTGCGTGTTCAGGCCACCATGGCGGTGAATCCGCGTGATATGGACGGTTTTATGCCGCTCCTGTCAACGACGGACATCAAGAAGAAGTTAAACGTCGGTACTCTGCTGCTGAATTATCTCGGTGACCCGAGCAAGAGCATCGAATGTCAGGACATCGGACAGTTCATCGACAACATCGTGCCATGGCTGAGCAACGGCAACCCCAAGGTATGTAACGATTCTTACGGTAAATCTTTTACACGTGAATTATTTTAAATATCTCGACCGCTCCTCGTCATTCTACAACTTTCGCATTCAGCTGATTTCAAGAAAGAAAGTATCGTACGCTTTCGTTGCTAATTTTTAATTACAATCGTATGCTCCAATCGTCTGCTGTCAAGCAACGATTCTACTTACATTCTTACGCTTTTCTATTATCATTTCTATTTTCGTTGTGTGTGTTGTTTATTGTGTAAACAAGACAATAGAAGGTAGGTACTTATCTACAGCTTTTTCATATATACATCTATTAATTGATAAATGATAACTATACGAAGATGTCTATACGTTACTGAATCCGTATCTTGCGGTTAAACGATAAAAAGGAAGGGTAATATTTTGCATTAAATAGATGAGTGAAAGACTCGTCTACGATTGCAGCGGGGTGTGCCGGGTGACAAACTTAGACAAGGTTGTGCGCGTTCATGCAGAGGTGCTCATTTATCGAATTTCGTTATTCTTGTGTTAAAATATAAAAACTAATGTTAACAATCGAATCCGGCATTCAGTCAGTTTAGCGCGAACATTGTATTACTATTGTTATATTCTGATATCCTTGTCTCACCATAATCACTGTTTTTTGACCGTTTTGGAATGAAATAGCTCGAACGAAGTAACAATTACAAGCGCCAATAGTTTTGTCTTTAATGTTTACGTTTATTCCATTAATAAGCGAATTCAGGGGCGTACTTATTTTAACAACATTTCCGATAAAAAGCATCAACATTTAGGACTTTCACCCAAGTTTCAAACATATTTGTGTATGCTTTATTTCTGTCGACCTATATACCCTGCGCTCGAAACTTTCTATGCTCGACACTCGCGAACGGATGATGTTATTCGCGACAGCAATATGATTCATTTATAAATCAAATTTGGATTTGTATTCTATGAAAGGAAAAGGGGCTGAAAGTTTTTGGTCAGCCAAAAATCAATAACGAGGCCTCGCTTTAATAATGCTGTTCGCGTGACAGCATTGCTACCAGTTAGTCCCAATTACAATAATCGTTGCCCTGCACCTAACGGTTTAAGTGATGAATCTCCTCCGCGAGATGTGTACCACAAAACCTTGGACAGGTGTTGCCTCACGAACAAATAAGGGAAAAACTTTCACACCATGTATGTAAGTTGTCCTTTGATGCAGTGTGTCACTGAAAGATTCGAGTTCGATCGGTCAGATAAATACTCTGGTGATAAACGAAGTTACTAACCGGGAAGGAAAAATCCTGATGAATTTAATAGATATTTAAAGACGTATTGGATATAATATACTGGTGACTATGTAGTTTGTCAGTTTCATTTCACTGGTACGGTAGTCATCAAGTGTCGTAGGCAGTTTCGTCGAATCCGTTCGTACATACTAGTACAATCGTTCCCTAATAGAGACAATCATGCCAGGATATTCTTAACTATCACTAATCATCTCTGTTGTTGTTCGAGAAGATGCGTTAGAGGTAAAGAAAAGTTAAAGCGTTTAAACGAGAAGGATACCTGGTTCGTTAACGAGGTGGCTCGAAAGTTGCTAAGTCAAATTCCTTGACTCTTACCGTTTCCGGGCGCGATTATCTCGTGAGAAAATCAGGGAAACAAGTCTTTACAACGGTCACATTCGGAGTCAAACGAATGCACAGCGCGTACTGCGAACAAATTTGTCTTAAGATAGTGAAAAACTATCTTCGTTAGCATCGGGATACAGCGGACGCTGTGAGTCATTATTTAAATAGTGCCACTTGTTGCTAGAACTTCTTATTAGCGTGAAACTCGTCACGGCTACACGTTTCGAAAAGAGAATTTCGAGATGGACGAATAGAATCTCGTATGAAATCTAGTATGGGCTCATAATTAATCAGTCGACAGTGGCTAATGAGGCAAAAACAGATGACAAAGATATACTCGAATAGTTGGCAAACTTTGAATCTCGAGATGGAAGCATTTCCACTTGAGACCATCCATCTCCTTAATGAAGATGCCGTGATTAGGCTGTACTGTTCGTTTTTAATTTTCGCCGGACCTGGCATTGTCGTAGTTTTACGAAGAAGCTCGGCTACGTGACAAGACTTCCTATTTTTCATCAGTGTATCGATCTGGACCGAAGTTCCTTATACCGCAGCCGAGTCTGACCAAGGTCTGGGTCATACTACTTAAACTTTTACATGTTTTCTTCTCGGTCTTTCATCCGATCATTATACTTATAGTGTCATGAAAGGTGTTGCACAATTTTTTTACGCGGTATCGTTGCACCCTATGCGGGTCAAGGACATAGGACAACGTAAACTGCATTTTGTCTGACTCTCCTCCTATCTTTGTTCGTTTTTCTCAGTGGT